TATACAAATTACTAATCCAATATAACTACAAAAAATCTCTATGCATTCATACACCAATGTTTGGTTAAAAATTCTTCTCTTCTAAATAGTTCTTAATATTTGGAATCATTTCCCAAACCCCCATAATTTATGAAAATTCACCTTCTGTATAATAAAATGTAATTCTAAAAACAAAGTATACATCATGAAGTGTTTTGACCATGATATTGACCATTAAACTTAAAACTCCCTTCCTTAAGCAAATAGTCTACATTGGTTAAGAACTTCAGTTCACCATAAGTCATATCAAATCTGACATCAGAATTGCCATTTAGTAGCTACATGATCTGAGTCAAGTTCTTTTTTTAAAAAAATAATTATTTAATTTTAATTTATTATTAGTATTACTTAATTTGTTATAGGGTATGTGTGAAAGAGAAGGGAAGTGAGAAAGTAAGCTACAAGGTCCCAGACTTGAACTATGGTCAGCCATGTAGGAGTCTAGTACCTTAACCACCACGCCACCTGCTGGCCCAAGTCAAATTCTTAAATCTAAGTTTCTATGTTCTTTTCTTTTTTACATAAATATATACATTTATTTATTTATTTATTTATTCTATGATAAAGGGAGACCCCCACCCCCACCCCAACAGCGTGTTCACAACACCATCTACCCCCAGTCTTAGCCAGTCTGGATCATGGGCATACGCGTGTACCAAACATGTACAGGGAAACCTTGGGGCCAGCATCACAGAGCACTGCATTGCCACTGCTCCACTGACTGATCCTAATTCTCAGTTTTCTTTTCTAGAAACTAGGAGTTATCATAGCATCTAGCTCATAGGATTATTATATGTTTAAATAAAATAAATAAGATAATAGAACCACTTAGCAACTTGCCTGGTACATAGTAAATATTCAGTTAATGTTACTTTGATAGATGTGAAACAATTGAAAAAAAAAAAACCTGAGTGATAGGGAACATGATAGGAAACACACTGGGACTTCTCAAAATGTTTCAAAGAATACTCCACTACATCTATGGCCTAAAACCCTCCTGTGCCCAATAAAATCATTTGGAATGCTTTAAAATATTCATTATCAAGAACCCACTCTAACCCCAGAACAACTAAACTAGTTGATTTTAATGAGTAGCCAGGGCTAAGAGCCACAAAATTAGATCTTTACTAGATAGCACCTGTGTTGGTTGGAGTCGGGAGAGGGAATGGAGAAGCAAGATTGTTCCATAATAAGTAAGTTTTAGAAACATGCATTTTACATGCACATAAAGATTCTGGGAAAGTCTACACAAAAACAAAACAAAATGAAAAAAATTGTTTAAAATCCAGAATTGTCTAAGCTCATTTCTGTTAAGAATATTTTTAAAAAGAGAATCTTTTTATGTCTAGAAGAATTAGTATTCCAGAGAGATGTTCTAGTTCCTAAATCTGGCTAAATATCATAATCACATGGAGAGCGTATTCAAAATATAGTTTTCTAAAGCTCATCCCTAGAGACTATGATTCAGTACCTCTACGGTGGGGCTGTGAATCTTTATTTTCATCTAAAGCTCCCAGATTTTTCTATGCATCATAGATTAAAGTAAATACCCACAGAGAGTCTATATTTGGTCCCATAAACATGCTCTTCCTCTTCTACTTCCAAGCTAAGGACAGGGAATTGGTCCTTATATTTAACATAGAGTCTCTTGCAATATCTTGCTTCTAATAGAAGCTCATTAACAGTTTAGTGAAAGGGACCACCAGGTGGTATGGTGGCTAAGGTGCCGGACTCCCATATTGCTGACTGTAGTTCAAATCCCAGACCTGAAGCTTGAAAAGCACAAGGGGCCTTTATGTGTGCACTCACTCAAAATACCAAGAGGAAAGTGGAGGAGAAGGGGTTGCAGTGAGAAATCCCCCTGGGAGGGGTAATTTCTCATTTTCCTTCTCTCTGTCACTCTGTCTTTCTGCAGTGAGAGCACACACCCTTAGGGAAAGGAAAAAAAAAAAAAGAGTTTAGTGGTGAATAACTAATATAAGATTACTTGAAATTCCTGGTCTGAGAAGTATTTCATGTTAAATTCTCTTTACAAGTCAAATGATGTATAGTAATAGAATGCTTAAAAAAAATGAGAATTTTAAAATAATAATAATAATAATCTGAAAAAATAAAAAGCTCTTTGCTGCTGATGATGTGGATAGTCATGTCTTTGTCTTGACTGATATGCATGGTAATTATGCTGGAAAAAGAAATTGTATACACTGTAAAGATACATGTGATTAAATGTAATATAGGGACCAGCAGTTAGCGTAATGGCTATGTCGCTGGACTCCCACGTAGTCGACCGTGGTTCGAGTCCCGGATCCGGTGGCTTAAAACTCACGCCGGGTGCATGTGTGTGCGTGCCCAAGATCCCAAGAGGAGAATGGAGGAGAAGGGATTGCGGCATGGCCATTCCCTCTAGGGGGTGATTTCTTGCTTTCTGTCTCTCTGTCTCTCTCTGTCTGTCTGGCGAGCGCAGCACCCTATAGCAAAAACCTCTCTGAAAAATAAAAAAAGTAATATAAAAATAATAAAATATAAATTTTAAAAAAAGATTATTTGAAATTCATCAGGACTGGGGTCCAACCTAATTACAAACACCAGGCTCAAGGTAAATGTGGAGGTGTTTATACTCAGGGGATACTAAGGCACCCAGGAAAAAGATTTATGTTTCTGTGTGTAAGTACCAACTCAAGGTTTCCAGAGTTAACAAGGATGTTTGCAGAACAGGCACCAAAAAAACTAGGTATTCACTTCTTAGTGTGATATTAGAGTTTCCAGAAATACATTTGCAGAGAAGACTTTAAGTATTAGCTAGACCAAGAAAGGAGCTTTCAGGTGTTGATCTTATAAAACATCAGAAGGTTCTGGGTGATGTGAATTATTCAGAGAAAGCACAAACTCAGAAAGAAGCAACTCAGCAACTGTGGTTGTATGAAATGTTATAACTCCTTTTGAATAAAGCCATACACTAAAACCTAAAAGCCAGCAAAAGGCAGAGGAAGTTACACACCAAATTTTCTAGCATCTTTCAGCATTCTTTAGACCACTGAAGTGAAAGTGTCTGCTTCTTTCCATCATTAGAGGTACTTTACAAGGTCCTGGACTTGCTTTATTTATTAATTTTGCCTTCTCGTAGGCAGTCTTACTCAAACAACTCCATTTAACATCTCCCCCTATGAGAGCCAAATATCTCTAGCCCAGACCTCTGTTATCAAATCCATACTTGTACAAGAAGTATTCAACAGAATTACGGAAAATGCATATTATGAAAATACTATCATGGATTTCATTGTTTTGCACCAAAATAAACTTTTACTTTAATTTCATTTATACTTCAAACATTTCAAACATTTTGAAGCCTCCTCATATATTCAATTGCATACTAGACTTTTCCACATGATTGGCTTTCAGGCACAAAAATTGAACAATTTCAAGACTGACCTTACCAGCTTAATCCCTGTTTCTATTGTTCTCTGTCTCTGTGAATGGCCCACCATTTATCATATTGGGCAAGCTAAAATACAAGGGTCATTTTTTTGTATTTGATGTTCTTCAACTTCACTCTAATGTACTTGTTATATTACTGATTGTCATTTGTTTTCACCTGGCTTTGTTGTTCTTCATCAAAATAACTATTCCTTCTTTTTGCACATTCTAGAAAATTCACAGCCATTATCCCTTTAAGTATGTTTCTTCCCCTTCATCCTCTCTTTATTTTTTGAGATTTCTAGTTATTCTATTCTCTTTTTCTTTCTCATAGTTCCCATTCCATATTCTCTCTTTGATCCATATAGACTTTCTCGCATGTGTGTATGTGTGTATGTATGTGTGTCTGTCTGTCTGTCTGCAGTGTTCTTTAGACAAGGTCTTACCATGTTGTGATTCTCCTGCCTCACCTTCCCTAGTAGTTGGGACCATCAGAGTGAGTCACCACCTTGGCTGCTTTGAGTGGGCTGGGAATTGAACTCAAGCCTCCATGGAGTCCCAGCCTGCAAAAAAGTAATATCCGGTATGTATTACCACAGCTAGGCCCCATACAGTTCTTCTGATACATTTTCTACTTCAAAATCCTCTCTTCTATAACGTATAATAGGCAATTTGAAGGGTTTTTTTTTAAAGTTTATTTCTTATATTAGCAAGAGAAACAGAACCCTCAACATTGTCACAGTGCCACATTCCACACTAATCCTTCAGCCAGTCCTAGATCACGGACATGAGTATGACCAGTATACCCAGGGAGGTCTCTAGACTTGAACTACGAAACTTCCCATGCGGGACTACCTAGCAGAACATTATATTTTACTACTGCATCACCATCTCATCCCATGTGAAGACTTTTAAATGTTTAATTTAGGAGCCTGCGGATGGTATAGCTGTTAGGTTGCTGGACTCCCACATGGCTGACCACAGTTTGAGTCCTATAACCTGTGGTTTGAAAATCATGCTGGGCGCATATGTGTACATGCCCAAAATCCCTGGAGGAAAATGGAGGAGAAAGGACCATAGCATGGCCATCTCCTCTGGGGATTTCTCACTTTTCCTCTCACTGTCTCTATCTTCTTCTCTCTTTGGGGAGCACACACTCCCTAGGCAAAACCTCTAAAAACAAATAAATGCTTAATTTATTCAGTTTTTCCATTCCAGAAATTATATTTAATTTATTTAAAAATGTATCTGTTATTTTTTCCATGATGTTCTATTGTCATGATTTGGATTTCTTCTATAATTTGTAATTATAAATGTCATTTTACTGTCTTCTAAATATTGTCATTTTTCTGTTTATTATTTACTTATTGTAGGAAAATGCCATAGGCTGTCCAAGAGGTTACATTTTCCAAATTTCTGGAGTGGTCTTAAGTTTATCAGTGATGCACCCTGAAAAGTAGCCTGTGTGTCTGTGCTGTGGAACTTCCTAATAGAAGGATAAGAAGATTAACAAAGTTAACTGGGAGAAATTCCATTTCTCTTTACAGTTCCATGGTTGTAAGCAAGAATAATCAACTCTGAGAACCTAAGCAAAAGGAGACTCGATAAAAAGGATATGAGAGCTCATGGGACAAAAGAGAGAACTTGAAGCTGGAGCAGATCCAAGAATCTACAGTAGCAGATACCATTAGACAATTTAGCCAGGATGGTGACACAGGGAAAACAATAAATCCTACTAACCATTTATTCATGCTTATGTTACTGAGTTCCGGAATCCACATATGAGAAGAGGGTCTGATAATCAACACCTGCATCTTTGTTATACTGGAACAGTGATAAGAAGAGCTTAACTGAAGAAGCCACCAAAGAGATATTCTGGTCCACTTTCCTGGTAGATGACAAACTTGAGATTTATAATCCAACTAGACCACTAACATTGAAAGAGATTTTGTTGTTAGGAAAGAAAATGTGTTCCTGTGAATCTTAAAAAAAAAAAATCCCCCCGGCCCCAGCCACAGTGGTGTAACAACAGTGCAATGTTGTATAATGCTGGAAGCCAGCACAATGGGGGTTTGGTTCCCTAGTTAACCTAAATCAGGTTGTGAGGTAGGAAAGGTCCCAGCATGCAACTCTGTTGAAGGTGCTTATCTTTATCTCTCTCAAGAAACAAAGGAAACGGAAAGAGAACAGGAAAGGGAAAAGGAAAGAAACCTATGTAGCTAGAACCCACATGGGCAAGTGCATAGTTGGAGTCCCAGATCCTGTGACTTGAAAAAGATTATGGGCATGTGTGCCCAAAATCCCAAAAGGAAAAAGAAAGAAAGGAAAAGGGATGTCAGCATGACTGTGCCCCATAGGAGATGTTTTCTCCCTTTCTCTCTCTCTCTGGTGAGCACACACACACACTCTCTGGTAAATTAAAGAAAGAAAAAGAAAGATTAATTAATCAATGAAAAACTTTAAATTATCCACTACAATGTCAATGGCTACTACTTGAAAAGTTGTAAACAGCATTAGTTTTTCTTCACTAAAATCTAAGGGCAGCAAATGTTATAAGCAATGGAATGCATCTCATTCTCACAGGAGAAAAATATGAAATAAAACTAGAAAATTTTCTCGGTAGCAGATAGGAATTGGATACTTTGCCATGTAAACCTCTGACATCCAAATATTTCAAAATTAGGAGTTAAAAAGTTCTCTAATTTAAGGTCCAAATTGCTTGTTAATTCCTATGTATATTAGATTTAAATATAAAATATATTAAACAGGTATAAATACTTTATATACAAAATGCAAATGCACCTTTGTGCTCAGTGCACTGTTATCTTACATAATTAACATGAGCCAGAATAGAAAATAAAAATTAATCATAGATCAGGCAAATTTCTCAAAGCTTAGACTGGGTTGGGAACCAGCAGTTAGCGTAATGGCTATGTCGCTGGACTCCCACGTAGTCGACCACAGTTCACGTCCCAGACCCGGTGGCTTAAAATTCACGCCAGGCGCGTGTGCATGCATGCCCAAGATCCTGAGAGGAGAATGGAGGAGAAGGGATTGCGGCGTGACCATCCCCCCTGGGGGGTGATTTCTAGCTTTCTGTCTCTATGTCTCTCTCTGTCTGTCTGGTGAGCGCACGCACCCTATAGTGAAAAACCTCTCCCCTCCCCCCCCAAAAAAAAGCTTAGACTGGGTTTAATGTTACTCGCCCACCACCCTGTATCTATCATTTAGATCTCTGCATTGAATTCAGATCGATCTCTCAAATTTAACTGTCTAATGTCACCTAGCCCTTTAAAATGTTTTAACAGCTGTCTATCACATAATGAATATCACCCACTTTTCTCATAATCCCCAATTTGACCCAAATGCCAGAGATGCTACTATGCAAAAATTAATGACACAACAATAACTGTCACTGCTAGTTTGCTGCCCAACTATGTACGTATCATTCACAATCTAGACTTTCAAACCTTTGTAGGCAAAGACCCTGCTATGGCCCTCCCACATCCCAGAGGTCCATTCACACCTTTGCCATTTTCTGAACTAACCATTTTCCCTCATGACTCTAAAGACATAGCAACAGAAAACAAACTTAGTTTATCTTACTGTATACTCACAACATGGTTTTAACAAGAGATCAATTGTGAGGGCTTATTTCCACACATCAAGCAAGCCATCAACTAGCCAAGTGTCCTCTAATTCAATTCGAGTCAATTCTGATCCTATCTTCCTGGAGATAGAGTCAGATCCCACAGGTTGAGGGCTTGGTCCCCCAGACTTCCCTACAGCTCCATTTCAGATACTGATTGCAAGCCCCAGATTGTATTAGTGTACTTCTGACTGGCAGGCTTAAATCAGGGTTCCTATGATCCCCTCCTTGGGAGTCCATTTATTTGTTAGAGAGGATCACACAACCTGGGAAAGCAGTTTTGTTTACTCCTCTATTATAAAGGATATTTTGTTTTATCATTATTATTACTTTTAATTTGCCAGAAGATACAAATGACTGCCAGAAAGATGGAGGGAGAGATGGGAAGATGGAGAAAACCCCTGCTCCAATGAGATGTTGTCACACCACAGTCTATTCTCCTGCATTTCTACCTCCAGTCAGGGTTTCGGGCACACCTGTACACGTCCTTCAAGCCTACAGGGCTGGATATCAATCTTCATGGTCATCCATATGGGATTCAGCTCAAGGTATTTTAAAGGATACAGATAAAGAGATGCTTAATACAAGGCATGCATGTGGAAAGAGCGTAGAGCTTTATACCCTCTATGGAATAGAAGAATCTGCATGAATTCAGTTCATGTCCAGAAATCTGCATGTCTTCAGTCATTCAGAAACTTCACCAACTCAGATTTTGGGGATTTTTATAGAGGCTTCATTATGTAGACAAGATTGATTCAATCATTGGCTATTGGTGATCAACCTAATCTTCAGCATCTCTCTCTCCATCCCCAGAAACTGGAGGGCAGGACTGAAAGTCCCAGCCCTCTAATACTGCCTTGATCTTCCCAGTGACTAGGCCCCATCCCTAAGCAACCAAGGGGCTGCCAATCACTAATCAATCATTAGCATGCAAAAAGATACATATCACTTTGTAGAGTCTAAGGATTTTAGGAGTTGTATGCCAGGAAACAGGAATAAAAACAAAAACATGTATTTCACCATATCCCAGACTCCATGGCCACTATACACATTATAGCTTCTTCCTTAAGTGTTTTTTATAAACCAAACCTGAAAAATCTGCCTACTTTTCCATTTTATCCCAATTACCAATGCATTTCCATAATCTCTATGCAATGGTCATCATTAATATATCATATCACCTTGTGAGTTTTCTTATTCTGCTGAGCAAAGAGTTCTTGAAGTCACATGTAACATGCCTGTTCATATACATATGCCAGAAATCTATCCTTAAAATTGGTTATTTAGAGACTCACTAAAGGCTGATCGATCAAACTCTTGGGTAAGATGGTAAGTGTGGTACTAGGGTTTCCTACTTTCAACATAACAATGACTTCAGTCACTCTATCACTAAGGGTTTCACACAGAAAGTGATAAGAGCATGTCCCCACTAAATAATACAGCCTCTCTCTGATGATTTCCAAAACTTTGTCTATTTCATTCATGTTGACTATATTCTACCTGTATATCTGAAAAAAAAAACTTATTTATGTCTTAAACTGCATAGATTCTGATTACATACTTTGGGCGCACTCTACTATACCTATCTTTAATCCTACAGTATCAGGTATTAAGCATGTTAATGCTTTGTCTTTAAGCCTAGTAGCAGTGAACCAGCTGGTTCAGTTAGTTACAAATATGCTGCTAGGGCCAGCAGGTGGTGTGGTGGTTAAGGGCACTAGATTCCCACATTGCTGACTACAGTTCAAGTCCTGGACCTGGAAGCTTGAAAATCACACCTGGCATGTGTGCATGCATGCCCAAAATTCCAGGAGGAGAATGGATGAGAGGAGATAGTGGCATGGCCATCCACCATAGGGTGTGATTTCTCACTTTCCCTCTCACTGTTTCTCTCTGTCTTTCTGAGCTACAGACTGTGCCCTCAGACTATGTGCCTAGGTACAGCTATAATGTATATTCAATGAGATGCAGGATACATAACAACAAGGGTCAATATCAAAATCAAATAGTCCCTACTGATAAGCAATTCATTATATTATGTTATATTCAGATAATAAGGGAAACAGCTCTTCTGCTCCTCCAGTTACTCAAACCAGGTAATTAAGGCAATTGGAAGTGGTGAAATCCAATAGTGTAATTATGTTTCTGTAGCTCCTTCTAAATTCCAAAAGACAAGAAGCAGAAGGCTACACTTGAGCTCTTCTTTCCATGAAAAGTATATATTCCAGAACTTTCATGAATACTTGGTTTGGTGCTCAGAAAAATCACTTGGAATCTGTAGCATATAAAACACTTTGGAAATAATCTAAGGGCATGGAATAGCAGGGCATTAATAATTAGAAGCCTGTCAAGACAATTACCAACAAAGCCACAGCTCAGATTCTACAGGATGTAAAGAAATGGACAGAAGTATATCAAGGAATTAAGATATTGATGTGAGTTAACTTAACAGATATGAGGAAAAATTTAAAATACAGTGAAAACAGGGGCCAGCAGGTAGTGTGGTGGTTAAGGGTGCTGGACTTCCATGTGGTCGACCACGTTAGTCTCAGACCTGGTGGCTAGGTTTCTCACTCCCTCTCTCTCACTCTGTCTCTCTCTGGTCAAATTAAAATAAATACAATAAATAAAGTTAAATAAAGTAATTCTTTAAAAACCATAATGAAAACAGTAAATTAATTATCACTATATGTGCTAGAAATATAGAAAGAAACATAAAAGTAATTAAAACAGTTAACTAAGTAATGACATTATATGCTGAACTCTAGATAAAACAATTTGTTACACATGTACTCTTTGAATTCTATAAAATGGATACTAAACCTACATATAAGAAGTAGGGAAATAATGAAATCAAACTTATCAAATTCTTGAAAGTCCAGAGGCCAGCAGGTGGTGTAATGGTTCTGTCGCCAGACTCCCACGTAGTCAACCACGATGAGTCCCTAACCCAGTGGCTTAAAACTCATGCTGGGCATGTGTGCATGTGTACCCAAAATACCGAGAGCAGACTGGAGAAAAAGGGATTGCAGTATGGCCATGCCCCCAGGGGGTGATTTCTTG